AAAATGCTCTTTGATTTTAATAAAAGTCAGTACTATGATATTTTTCAAGTCGCTGATTACGAATTTGAGATCAAAATTGTAGAATTTAATCACTTCGTTGGCATTGACGCACTTTTGCGTTAAATAAAGGATATACCAAAAATGGCACTGACGCACTAATGTGAATATCATTTTATTTTTTTTCCGTTTTTTTTTCAACGGAACAAAACATTTAAAGGACGTCCAATGAACATCCATCATGGAGATTCATAACCTCCAATGGATATCCATATATCAATAAATTAAGAAAGGAAAAGAGCATTTAAGAGCCAGGCACAGTTGTAAATGTATTGTAATAACAGTAACAATAAATGTACAGGGTGTTGCGCCAACATACAGATCAGTACGACGGGTTGCCTGCCCGTTAGGCGCGCGTGGCCGATAATGCAGGGCTTGCTGATATAATTATATGCCTACTTTATCCAATGAAATATGCAATGCTTCTAATTATCACGATCGTAACAGATATATACACATACACACACACACACACACGAATATGTGTATATATATATATATATATATATATATATATATATATGGTGGGCCATTTTAATCTCCCCACCTGAATTTCTCGTAATCTAAGTCAGATAGAGAAAAATGGTCCAGACAAAAGTAGAAGGGGACAGAGGGGGTCACGTAATGGTACCAAGGACCTTGACCTTGAACTCGATTTTCAAGGTTATTTCAAGGTCAAAGTGATTTTTTTAAATGGGAACACCTATTTTTGACCCCGGATTTGAAAAGAGCGGGAAATTTTACGTTCAAAATGATATGTTAATCAAGGTCATGGCAAGGTCGAATGAAGGTCAAGTTTGCGAATTTTGATTTCCCAATTGAATATATCGGAACCTAAACCAAATACGTAAAATTGGTTCAGACAAATGTTAAAGGGGGCCGAAGGGGTCACCTATCTATACTCTGATCTTGACCTTGAACTCGATTTTCAAGGATATTTCAAGGTCATAGTGATTTTTCAAAGTGGGAATTACTATTTTCTAGGGTTTCTTTAACTGTATTAACCTTACTTTTAGCGCTACCCAGAAATAGGTATGCCTATTAACATTTTCCTCAAAAAAATAATTATTACTGCGCA